ATGAAGTGTGAATGATTGGCATTTACGCATAATGAATTACCTATAGTATAATATAGTATTTATAATATAGTGTGGGCAAAACTGTACAGAACTGTCTCCATGGTGACGAGCAGACAGCAGAACTACACCTGAAAAGTTACACTATGCATCTTTAAAGGTTCCATATTACAACAAATGGATTCTTGTGAGCTTTAAACCAGGTTATAATGTTGTCACCCTCTGAAAAACAAAGCTGGAGTGTTTTATTTCATTCACATGTTTGAGTATTCCTGGTTTATTAGTTTACATTTTTTGTTTTGTTGACTTGTATGTGAAGCACTTTGTTCAGTTGAAGTTGTTTTAAATGTGCTTTATAAATAAACTTGAATTGAATTGAACATATGGAACATTGTGTTGATCAAGAAAAGGAGTTAAATTACAGAACAGTGGCTGCACTGAGCTAAAATAAGCAACTTCTCTTTTTCAATTCAAAGTAACTTTAAAGAGAAGAGTAATGGAAAAATATTTGAAAGAATAACGACAGTAAAGAGAATTTTGCTATAATTAAAATAATTGTTGATTTAATTTAATTATGATCTAGTAAAATATTGTATTAATGTCATATTCATTTTGTAGATGAATGATTATTTTTTCTGTAAATAGTTCTGCCATCTTGTTTTCTGTTCTATATGTTCACAGGGTTTGGCAAAACAAGTGTTAAACTTCAGCCGGTCTATAGAATAACTTTAGTGATATGACAAAAAGCATATTTTTTTGGTGTTAAATCATTGTATTATGATGTATGATTATAAAAATAAAAATAATAAATTAACTAACTAAAATGTCCATTAACGTGCTGTAGTTGGAGATAAAATGTGGCACAGTAAACTTGGGCCCGGTCAAGCAGAAGTAAACATCAAGGCCAACAATTCAAGTTAATGCATCTAATATAAAAATGTATTGAACAGATACATATGTACTCTAGTTTATGAAACTGTTTACCTTTTTTCTGTACCATTTTTGGTTCTAAAGTTCCATATGTTTTAAACAGACCATGTATGAAACATGGAACAAAAATTATTTCCCAAATTTCAAAGACCTGCAAATCATGTAAATAAATGGATGTATTTCATCATATCTTGTGTTATTCCATCTTTGAACTGTTGATGAAGGGACAGGATTTTTCAAAAAAAAAAAAAAAGTATTTAAAATGATAAAAATTTGCTTGGAAGGACTGACATATTTTATAGAAATAGTTTCCTTTCATTTTGAAGTAATATTAAAGTATTCAGAAGAAAAAAAGCGACAAATGATGTAAAATCCTGCACCTTCTACTTGTTTGCACAATTTTCCCTCCGTTACTTTTCCCTCCGTTACCATGACCTTTCTTAATAAAAAATCTCATGAGTCAAAAAGTAAGAGGTTTTTCAACCTAATCTTGTACCATATGGTAGAAAACTATATGAAGCAAATATTCAAACCAGTTTGTTAAGGATATGTAAGTGAGAACCAAGAGTTTTCACTGTTTGGATTTATTGCCCAAAAAGTGCTGCATATTTCATTCCCTCTGTTACCGACATGAGTTTTTAAATTTTTTGTCAACAACTTGAAAGAATATCACAGGTTTAACTTGACCCTGTTGGAGTGTAACTCTTTCCTACATTCTGATACTTTACTTATTTCAATAGTTCCTCTAGTTTCTGAATAAGAGACATTTGAATGTCAAAAATCTGCCCCTGTTTCCCTCCGTTACCATTTGACCGGATCCACTTGAGCTTTTGTCTAAACTTGCTCAGAGACTTAGTGTTTGATTTGATGGTTCTACAGACTGAATGTGTTTTATTTTATGGGCATCAGACTGAATATAATGTATGTAGACTGTAATGAGTTAAACACTGATCAAATAAAAACACATCTCTAAATCTCAAAACACTCTGTTCCACCTTGTGATGTCATAAAGGGGTGGTTTTCATGTTAACAGCTCTTTTTACTTTTAGTTCAGTAGAGATCGGTTAGCCTCGTTCATCAGCCGGGTTCACTTTGTGGAAACCATCTGACCATTATATTTCGTTCACTCGACGGTAGGTGGGTACTTTTTTTTTTTTTTTGCAATATTTTATTTTTGCATTTTGTTTGAGTTATACAATACACAACAAAAAACATAGTTGAACGACAAAAACCCCATACCCACCCCGCTCACCCACAGAAAAAAAAAAAAAAAAAAAAAAAAAAGGGAAGATGCTTCTCACAACCACACATTTCAATAGTTCACATAGATACACAGAGGTCAGTTGAGGCGACGTTCATATAATCCAAGTAAGGCTGCCATATTCTAACAAAGGTGTTGTAAGCCTTTCTGAGGCTATAAGTGATCTTTTCCAAAGGCACACAGTTGTTCATTTCTGAGTACCATCTTGTAATGAGAGGGGGGGAATCAGACTTCCAGGTAACTGCAATGCATTTTCTTGCCACTGCCAATGAAATTTCTAAAAATTTTATTTTGTATTTATTTATTGATTCAATTTTCTCAAAATTTCCAAGTAGGCAAAATTCAGGATCAAGAGGTATTGAAGTTTTTGTGATTGAGGATATGGCTTGGCAAAAGTCAAACCAAAAACTTTTTACTTTGACACATGTCCAGGTACAATGCAAAAATGAGCCCAATTC